GAGCATGTTTGGTGTGACGGGGATTCGAACCCGCGACCCTCAGATTGCGAGTCGAGTGCCGTAACCACCTGGCCATGCCGGGCCCAAACATATGGTCAAACACCAAAACATTCTCGATACAGACCAGACATTTCTCCCATTGCAGCTTCTTCTGTGTAAGCTCCATTAGTCCCTCAAAAATGAGGAGAACATTAAATGGACCAAATGGTATGATTCTGAGCTTATATAACCACCTCAAGTGTTGAAAGCAGTTTTAGGTCTGTTCTAGTCATCCAGTTCATCTTGCCAGTACTCAAATGTCAGGTCTAAGGAGCTGAACCATTTGACACCTGTCCAGTATTCAGACATTTGTACATCCACAGGAGTGGGAAGACATCAACATCAGTTACTGTGTTCACCAGTTACAAATCAATACAGAACTATGGTGTGCCCTCCTTCCTCCTATCAATCGTTTAAGGTGTGGCAACATATCTAGTCATCAAGGGAAACCCGTGTAGCATTTATTTAATTACACATACATCGAAAAGTAAGTTGAAACATTGTTTTGCTCTAAAAAGTGTTCCAGACTGAGAATATTTGCCATCATATACTAAAAAGAACAATGCTCTTGTTTTCGGAGTTCAGGCGTTACCTGCGTGATTTAATGGTCACCCTCATTTCAAAATAAGAGATACTTCAATCCTGGGACATCACCCAACTTGTCAGTGAAAAATATCAATGTCTATGTCTAAACGATGTGCTAGATTTTACAGCTATCTTTCCCAAGAGAAAATAAATGTGACACCCTTGTTAATTGAACCCACCTAGTTGCTATCTACTTGTCTTAACAAAGAATGTTTCTAAATTTTCATTTATTAAGGTGAATGTAGTTTTAACATAGAATAACAGTCAAGAAAGTAGCTGAGTGTTTCTGTCGTCATTACCTATTACTCTTGGTCTTTCATGTAATGTGTCTCATCTACCTTCTCTATTACTCTAGGTCTTTCATGTAAGGTGTCTCATCCACCTTCTCTATTACTTTAGGTCTTCCATGTAAGGTGTCACATCCAGCTTCTCTGTTTCTTTAGGTCTTTCATGTAAGGTGTCACATCCAGCTTCTCTATTACTTTAGGTCTTCCATGTAAGGTGTCACATCCAGCTTCTCTATTACTTTAGGTCTTCCATGTAAGGTGTCTCATCTACCTTCTCTATTACTCTAGGTCTTCCATGTAAGGTGTCACATCCACCTTCTCTATTCCTCTAGGTCTCCCATGTAAGGTGTCACATCTACCTTCTCTTGGAAATGATTTTTGTAAACTTGTGCTTGCTATGTGAAAGTAGAAAGTGACCTTTTTCCCTATCAAACCATGTGACTTCTCGAGGATATAACCTCACATATTTTTCAATGGGAATGACCATCAGTTACTTGGGTAGTGCATGTGGCCTGAGAAGAATAGCATGATTGTTGTATGTATATAATGTTATGTTTTCTCGATCTGGGGCAGATTTCTAAAAACATGTTTTGGAGATATTCAAATCTATATATACAGAGCGCTCTCTCCAGTAAAGGCGCCGTCCTTTGTGAATACACACTTTTAATTGTGACATGAATAAAGATTGTTTCATTTGTTATACGTTGTGTCGATTCTCTTTCATTTCTTCAAGCTCAGTTAAATCAGAGAATTTAGATACGCTCCATGATACATTTCCTTTCGAACTTCCTATTGTTCTGCGGAGCCTACCCGATCATTTTTAAATGAAATCAGTGCACCTGAGAATACCACAATGGCTTTGAACCTTGGAGAGATCGTGGCCATGAATAATTGACATCGGAACATCTTAGTTGGTTTCAGTGAGATTCAAGTATTTGCCGGGAAAAAAGTATTATCTTCTGTACACATATAACCAGGAACAGCACAACAAACTGTAGAAGAATAAATGCTGGAAGCTTAGTACTGTCGATGCATTATATTCCACCTTTGAATAAATAAGTAACAGAAATGCAACTGTGGGTTGACCGCCTTTATCGTCAAGTAACAATTATCCACATAAAACTTCTATTTTCCTCGGAGGGCAATCTTCAGAAGCAGCATTGTGAAGCAATTCAAACTCCAATCTGTTTAGAATAAACACACGTGAAGAAAACAGAGAAATCAGCGTCGCCTGAAGTGTTTTTCTGAAAGCCGGTTAAAACCTGGTCCTCTAACACGTAAAAAAACAAAACATAGCCTAATCAAGAAAACTAAGCTGACTGTCATCACTTTCAGTGTTCTTCTTTCTGTCAT